ATAGAGAATCTTTAAAAGACAAAATTGATTTGTATGTATCTAAAGAAATAATAAAAGATATTTTTTGATATTCAAATAACAATTATAGATTTTCTAGTGGATGAAATCGTCTCGAGAGTTTTTCAATAAGGAGAACAAAAAAAAAAGAGAAAAACAAAAACAGAAGCTGAGAAAAAAGTTCAGATCGCTTGTTTATTTAATCGAGTTTTGGTGCACCAGCAACAATACCACTTTCAATACCGCATTCGTCCTTACCACGAATGATTTTGAAGAAACCATTATCACCCCAATCTTGATTCCATGCTAAAAAAAAAACATTAATCATCATAATTATAGTTTGAAGATAAATGAAACTAGCTTACAGTTAACAACAAGCCAGTATGGTACTGAATTTTCTACACCCCAGCCAAGAATTTTGATGGCTATAAAAAAAAACTCAATCAGCATTGAAGAAAAAATTCTATAAAAAAAATACAAACCATGACCACCCAGAGCTGATCCTGATGTATGTTGATAAACACCCGAGCTATATAAAAGAAAATCTGAATAGACAGTGAAAGCACCTTCGACTGGTCCATTCTTGTAGAGTTCGGTTTGAATTTGTTTTTCATCTGATCGAATTGAATAAACACTACTACCATAATGTTTGTCTTGAGTGTACGGAAGTGAATAATCATCAATACATTTTTTAACACATTTAGGTGTTTTACCTTCACCTTGACACTATTGAATATAAAAACAAACAACAATTTTATTAAACGAAAAAAACATAACTTATGACTTACAGGTGGTAAAGTTTTATTAACACTAAAAACAAAAGATAATGAAGAAGAATTATAAATAATAAAACAAAACTTACTGATGATCACATGCTTCAATGCTATATGGTCGACAACCTTCAGTTGAATTATAATTACCACCAGTTACTAAACCTGTTTTTTTTATAATATGACCAAGCACCTTCTGGAAAACCACCATTACAACCAAAACCACATGTTTTACAGCATGCTAAATTCAGAAGAAAAACAAAAGAGAATTACATAAATAAAATAAGTTCATTAAGATAAATTATTTTAGATAACATACAAACAAGATCTTCAGCTGAAATATGTGCATTTTGAGCACCATTTGAAGCAATACAAATACGATCAGACATAGCTTCAACAGCACCAAAAGCCCAACAACTGCCACAACTAAAATAAAAAACAAACAATTAAAAAAATTTTTTTTTTATGTATTTTTTCATATAACAGACCTTCCTTGATCGCGTACTTCTTTTAATGTTGGACAATTTGGCCATTGTTCACGTGGATCAAAATTTTCTGGTAAATCATTTGGTACATCATGTTCAAGTATTTCAAGTTGTTTATGTCGTTCAACATATTCTGGACGAACACCCATTAAACGTACAATTGATTCTTTTGACCATGACATAAATTTTGATGGTTTTGCTTTCCATGTTGTTTGTTCTGAATTAATTTTATTGACAAGATCTAATGAAAGTAATGATTGTTTTGATTTAAGTCTACGACCATTAACAGTAATCAATGCCAAATAAATAAGAATAGAAAAACGAAAAAACAGCATATTTTATTTTATCAATAATGAAATCTAAACAAAAACAATAATTTGTGTGTTTTTTTTAACATTGTATGATAAATTACGTATAAAAATATTTTGACATAGTTAAAAAGTCAAATAAATCATTTTTCTAATTATAATCTTTGAATATTAATCATATTAAAATAATTTATATTTAGAAGGTTATCAAAACAGGCGTTTTATTATAATTTTAGGGAAAAAAAAAATTTCTGTGTCATAGTCAATGAATAATAAGACCTATGAATAACATTATCTCATAGTATAAAATAATGTCTATTTTTGTTGCTATCATACAATACATCATAAAATATATTTTGTCAATTATTCCAAATTCGATCAATGTGAATGATAAGAGTCAATCAAAAAAAAAAACAAACAAAATAAAAATAGCATAGATGCACATATTCATTTATAAAGAAAAAATGATAGGATCTATGCTTATTATCTATTATTGGTATTTATAAACGTATATTATTCTTCTTCCGTTCTAATTTTATTATAATACAAAAAAAAAAAATATCATCATTTTTGTTTTTTGCGTGGTAGTAATAATCAATACTCAAAGGTGACGTAGGTAGTTGGACATATATAAAAAGCAACATATATTCTATCACATAAAAAAAATTCTATTTTCCTTTTACATTTCTATTGATACCTGTACAAGGCACGTCTATCTATGGCTCGTTCATCAATAATGAATGAAACTGTTGTGTTAACGCACAATCCATGGCCAAAAAGTTGAGTATAATACTAATCACAAGAAGAAAAAAAAACTCTGTTACTCATGGAAAATTGATAGGCATCTAAAGGATCAATGCATATTGTATTCAATTTGCATTCTTTTATGTTTTCTCTCTGTCTTTCTTATGTATATATATTTCAATTTATTCAGTCTTCATTATCAAATAAAAATTTAAAAGGTTCTTTTCATTCATCTGGCTTTTTTTTTCTATTTTATATACACAAATTCTAGTCCCTTCGTTTATGTTCAATATATAATAACACTTAGTATACTTATAAAATACATTTCTCTTAATTACTTTAATATTCTTTTTCTTTACAATAACTTAGAAACTGGCATGGAAACTTTAATGGAACGATTAGTTTCTACAAATACCAAATGTTATGCATGTGGCGCACTTGTTTATGCTGTCGAGAAGAAAAAGACAGCTAATCATGTAAGTTACTTCAAACGAAAAAAAAAAGTCGAACATCTTATATAATTTCATCTAGATCTATCATAATCGATGTTTTCGTTGTCGAATTTGTAAACGAAATCTAACTGAATCATCACTTAATGAAGAAGGCGATGATATTTATTGTGCAAGTTCGTTTAATAAGAAAACAATTTCACAAAAAATTATTTTTTCTATTATGTTTTTTTGTTTTTTTGTTTAAATAGATTGTTATCGAAAAAAACAAAGTGGTGATTGCAATAGTTTAGATTTTCGACGAGCTGCATCTGAACGAGCACAATATATTTATAATAATCATGATTCTGATCAAACACAATCAAGTGGTAATCCACGACCACCAATTAGACATGATTTTTCACGACATCCATCATTAACATTACGTCAAATAGAACGGCAATTTCTTTCTTATCAACCACCAAATTTTAATACCTATAAGGTTAGTTGAATAGTTAACACTTTAAAACAAAAAAAAAAAGAAATCAATTAATTAACTTATTTAATTTTAGATAATCGATAGAAATTCTCAAACACCTAGTTTAACTTTTGAACGTCCAATTATTAAAACAAGTTTTTCTACTCCAATTAAATTTATAACAATTCGACGTAGTTCATCATTAGAAAAAGATCAACGATCACCATCAAGAAAAACTGAACGATCACCATCAGTAAAAGCTGAACGATCACCATCATTGCATTTTTCACCTGTTTTTTCACCTATTATAAAGAGTTCTACAAATTTAAAAGAAACAACATTTAAAACATCACGAGAATTCAATGAAACAAAAATTAATAATGAACAATCAAAACCATTAATAAACTCAATTACTAATAATCGTTCTCAATTAAAAAATATTCTTATCAATTCAACTAAGGTACCATCACATTCAATCGAACCATCAAAATCACTCGAACGAAAACATAGTATCGTCATAGATGTAAATCAAAATAATAATAATAAACAAAATATATTTCGCTTTCCAAGTACTACTTCTACTGTTATTCCAATTCGTCATCGAAGTAAGAGTGCCAATTATATTTTTAATCGACGCAAAAATAAATGAACCTATAATACAAAAAAAAACGGACAGTTATTAAATGTTTTCATTTTTATGCATATTGTACTTTGTTCCTATTTTTTTTTACATACACTAACAATAAAAAATAAAAAAAAAAAGCTTGAATACTACGGAAAAAGAAAACAATTAATCATTGTATGTCTTGTGATGTGATTGAAGTATGCAATCAGGTATTATTCGTTAGTTAGTATTAAAATATAAGATTGGTTAAATAATATTTTAATTACTATTTAATTTTATTTAGATAATTGGAATTTATTAGATTAAAGAAATGATTGATTGCAATATAAAAATTGAAATTTTTTTCTACAATTTATAGCTTAGAAATTGTATGGTGCTGCCATCTAGAAAAAAAATTCGATTCTGAAGATATATTTTGTTCATTAAAATGA